GAGCCTGATAACTGGAGGGGGCTTTCAGCGCATCAAAGTTTGCCACAAAACTATCAGCAACACTGGCACTTCATTGCTGCAGTCGTTGTTTTTGTTGTTGTTCGAGTGCCGGGGAGGAAAAAGCTGCTAAAAAAGGAAACCCGAATGTCGGACAGGATTGTGATGCACACGAAAAAAAAGTTAAAGATATAAAAAAGGTCCTTCCAAACATTTAAAGCTAAGCTGCCAATCTCCTTTTAATTTTCAATATACTTAAATGATAAAAATAATTGTTTCCCAAATTGCAGGCTTATAAACTTTTGAGTTTAAAATGGGACTAAAATATAGTCATATATAAAAGAATTTGTCTGTATAATTGGGTTTGTTGCAATTCATGGCTTAGTTTGGTTTCACTGATGTAGTGACGATTCACAATTGGGGAAAATTATCATTTATGATTTTATTTAAAAAAATTAAATACTATGTTTAAGACATTTCAAAAGAATTTCCAACCATTGTTATTATTTTCTAAATATTATGCTATCTCGGATTTAAAATCTTCTTAGAAAACGTATTTTCTAAGTAAAATTTTTCGAAGTGTTTCTAGGGACTGCGAATTTGATTTCGCCTGGGTTGGCTGGGTCTGTTGGGTTTGTTCGCTGTCTGCTTAGCGTGTTGGCCAAACAGAACTGGAAGCCACAAGAAACTGGGTTCGGCTTCCGTCTGGAGCTTCTAGGTTACTTACTTTGCCCTATTCCCATCCAACTTTCATTGATTACTTTGTTATGGATTTTTTTCCAATTCTCTTCTGGTCGGCTGTGTGTATGTTTGGAGGGGAGTTGGACTGATTTGCAACACAAGCAATGCAACTGCAGACGCTCCTTTGATTGCGGCAATCAGAGCTAACGAAAGCGTGCAAAAAGTTTGCGTAATTTCATACTCAATGTACACAACTCATGGTTTCAGTCAGTCGGGGGTGGTGAGAGATTTTCCTAAATCCAGTATAGAATTAAATTACCAAATCCATTATTAACTTAAATCGCAATGTAGCGACACTTTGCCCAATCGAAGTGCATTTAAAATGCGAACCATGCCCCATCTTATGATTAGAGTAAAAAAGATCGGCGCAATTTTATGCACGTAGCTCGTCGATTCAACTTCAAATAGCCGGAGCGCATTAGCAGATAATAATATTCAGGCGGCGTCGCGTCGCCGTCACCATCGCCATGCCAACAACAATTAGGCAGAAGTTGAAATACGAGCAGCGACGACCAAGAGACGGTTGTTAATAGTGTTGAAGATGGCCCGCTGGTGCGGACCTGGCTCTGGAATTGGGCCTGCACTTAAGCACAGCGACTGGATCTCAACTTTGGCCAAATGGAATTGAAATGACAAGCAGAGGAAAGGGAGAAAGGCTTGGGTTGGGCTGACCAGTCATACACAGGAAAAAAATATTGTATCAATTTCAACATCTTTTGAAAGAAAATTTCGTTATTGGAGCGATAATACCTTAATATTCGGGTAATTTTGTATAACTTTCTTAGGAAATCCTTATTTCTGAATGTTTTTAATGCTCTTATAGTTCTTGACCTTGGTTTGACTGTTGTTGGGATTTAAAAAACTATTTGTTCATATTAAAACCAGAAATTTTCTCAGTGTATAGACCTGTTTCCTGATATTAACAACATACTTTATCTCAGTGTACAGGCACATACCTCGAAAGGAGTGGATTGTGATGGTCTGCGATGCGAAATGCGAATGGGATGTGATGCCCAGCTGGATGCCGCCTATTGGCCTGTTGTTGTCACATTTATCACGGCTGTCTGGGTGCGGGGAACAGTGCTTGCAGAACTTGCTGCAGGTCAAGTTACAGGCAAGTGAGATTTTTAAAGTCGTTCCCACTGATTCCTTGCCGATTTCTTTGGCGAGACAAATGAAATGGAACAGGTAAGCTGCCTTTGGCCCGAGGGCGTCCTTTGTGTGCGCCGGTTCAACGAACTGGTATGCAAAATGTATTTTTATTGAATTTCATTGATAAATGCTGCTTGCAACATGCATGGCCCTCACTGTTGCTCCTTTGGTTGTTTGTTCGATGGCAATTCGATTTCTGATTGCATGCCGGGGCATAAGTATGCAGCTACTTGGGCTCCTTTTAATCGACTTAAATCCAATTTGGGTCATTTGCAATCAGTGGCCCAAAGGTAACCGAACTCTCCCAGCAAGTCATTCAACTTTTGTGAAATGTCTGCGAATTCTGCCATCGATCTGTATTGATTAGCCGAAAAACTGGGTGGTATCCGAGCATCTGGCGAGAGTTTCGCTCTAGTGGAACAAGTTTTTACATTTTTTATGACACCTCTTACGGGCGTTCGCCGAAATCAATTTAAAAATAGTAAAGTCGCGTCATGTGATCCCAATTAATCAGCCGAAAGCACCAGAAGTTGCGACGGCTTTTGGGCAGGCAGACCTAGTGCAGCTGCAATTATTAAGTAAATCATCAGCAATCACATAGTCATCAGCAGAGTAAATATACCTTGCAGTATTCCACATGACTCAGATCTTCTGGCTTAAGTGTGCTTAACACTGTTTACTGGCTGCAATGGCCAAATAATTAAGAAACGCAAATAGTTCGTTTAACCAGGCCACTTGCGAGGTGTCAATGTCAAGTGTTAAAGGCTTTAAGTCATTCAACTGATCTTCTCGGATTTTCATATTTTTGTTGTAAAATATTGTTTACTTCTGCAGCACTTAATACTGTATTTTGAATATTAATATGCATGGCTACGCTGCTATTGACATCAAAGCCGCTGGAAAATGTTATTTTCGTCGCGCTTGGAAAAGCTATTTTCAGACTGGAAATCACTTTGCGGATTATTTGCGTGGAGTCTTTCAGCAACCGGTATCGGCTCAGTCACGTGGTTTGGCAATCGAGTTTGGTTTGTTTTCCGAGTAGTTGATATAGTGGTCATGTGCTGTTTTCCATTGCCTGATTGCTAAGGAGAATTGTATGCTGAAGAGATACATGGCGCGTGGACTGTTCATAGCACTCGTGACTTGTGCGATTATTCGTTTTCCTTAAACGAGTTTTTTAATATTGTTGTGAATATCGGAAGAAAATAAAAGAATATTTTCAATTTATAAAGAGCAGATAATAAATAATGATAAGAAACAAAACTTTTGATAACGCGATGAATAAGCAATTTTCTTATATTTCAATGATCTTTTTAAGTTTTTTTTAAAGTTAAATTGTAATTATGGGTTTACACCTTTCTATTGCCTTCTGGATTTACGTTGCATGTTGTGTAAATATGTGCGAAATCCGTAAATTTCTAAAAGTTGACTGGATAAACAATGTAAAGCTCGCGCCCCTTACTCTTGACACGCAATGGGGCTGTTGTTGTCATGCTAATTGACTACTTTGTAAAATTATTGTAATCCGATTTAAGAAAAGATCGCATGAAAAGTAGTCGAGAAAATCAGAGGGAGGAGTGAGGTGGAAGAGAAGAAAAACCCATGTGCATCCTTCATTCATGGCTTGTCGGACGTCAACAGAAATATAAAAAATTAACAACGGCAACAAAAAGTTCGAGTATCGGCATTAAATTGCCATCAACAATGCTGTCGTCTCGATAAAATATTCATGAAATATGCTCTACGACTGAATGTGCTGTGAGGATTTGACTTCATTATTCGGCTTGCCGTGCGGTCGCAGGTTGTGGTTTATGTGGTTACAACGAGTCGTTGTGGTTACACTCGAAAAAAAAGAAACTAAAATCAAATAAATTTCCTGTTAAAATACCTGTGTGCAATTTGATAACTGCATTTTGTTGTTTTTAATTGAACTGTTCACAAATTCATTTTTAAAAAACTTTAGTGAGAGAAAATACTCAAACCAATAATATTAAATCAATATAGATTGTTTAAAAATAAATAAAATTTTTAAAAAAGCATAATAAAGCACTTATTATTAGGTCCATTTTTTCTGTAATTGCAGTAGAAAAAATCACTCCGATATCCAACGCAATTTTTCCCAGTGCATCGTATTATGCGTGTCCTTATTACTGGAGATAAAATGTTAATACCAGTTTGACAATCTGTCCGATGCGGGCTCATGTTTAATTAGTCATGTTTGTCACAAATTCTGACATATGAGCTTTTCGATCGATGCAACTCATTTAAAAACGTCCGTTGGGCGCCAACGGGTAGCTCTAAAAATAAAACCAATTTCGATTCCGATTTCAATCGGCCACTCGATTGACAGTTGTTGTTTTTGCCGCCGCAGCAGCATTGGTAGTTGCACAAGAAATATCGTTGCATATTTCACGCCCAGCATTGCGCGAATATTTATCAAGTTACCCTAGTCCCCTCGTAGTCCTCCGGCTTTGCTCCCTTTTTCTTTTAAAAAGGCAGCGTCTTTCGCAGCGGGGGAATGGGAAAAGCAAAAAAAAATTGTTAAAATGTAGATTTATGCAAATGGAACGCATAGCTCGCTCGCTCGTTCGCCCGCTCGCATCCTGTCGACCCATCTCGCATTCCCTGTATGCCAATGTGTTAGTAGCCCGCCAGGCGTTCGTCCTGCCCCCCACCCGCCTCCACTTATTTTCCCACTGTCAGCTCAGTTCGCTTGCCAGCTCGCTGCCGGTTGTCTGTCTGTCCGCCTGTCTGGGTATTGAGTGTATTGCATTTAATATTTATTTGCTTTTATTTTCCCTTTTTACCCGCTGCCGAGCACATTTTTCTCTTCGAGCTAGAGAACTTTTCTTCTGCCTGGCCGTCAGGTGGAAGAGGAAAATTAAAAATGCAATTGCGATTAAAATTGCATGACAAACGCGTCGGCAAAAAGCGTTGCCAAAGGGGGTTTGCATGTTTAGCACCCACGGCACCCCACCCACCAAGCCCGATAAATAGTTGGATCCACAACGGGAGACTGCCGCTCAGATGCCCCAGATAATAGTGATTCACTTTTACTTGATTCACGGGTTTTTATTTAAACCCTTCTAAGTAAATCAATTCACACTTACCTTTAGTCAATAGCGATGAAAAAGTGTCACCAATGTCACCAATTAGCGCGAATTTCGTTACGTCTCGTTGAATCTGCCACAATTTGAGCAAAAAAAGAAGTTTGTTTTGTTAATTAACGCGACATAAAAATATTTTTAACTTTATTTATCCAATCCAAAAATACGCATAAACCGTTGAGGTTTCACCACGACAAAATGTTTTATATCCGCAATCATTGTTACATTAAAATACGTTCATATGTTGATTATTTTATATATTCGTTTATCTTTTTGTTTTGCCAGTCTTTGCTGGCTATCTGCCCAGTTTTCTCTTTAATAGAATTTAAATCTTGTGGCAACGGCCGCCACACGCGACACTCGGCCATATCATTATGCCCCCTCCGATTTGCTCTATACCCTATATCTTTGTATCATTCCAAGTGCATTAAGCGATAAACAAAGCATGAGGAGAACAAGGAACAATGACTGTAAAAGCTAAAGACATGACAGTGACATAGGAAAATGCATACCAAGGTAAAGTTTAAGGGATACAGAAGAGAATATATTTGTAATTTGTTTAAAAATAATCTTTTAAATAATACAAAATGTTGTTGACCTATTTTGCAAAAATCCGAAAAAGTAATAAAACAATATATTAAGGTTTTTTGTAATAACTTTTTAAAACAATTTTATGTACGAAAGTTAATATAAACTATTAAAAGGTTTAAACCAATTTAATAAGTTGCAAATAACTTTTTTCAGTATAAACACATTTTATTTACACATAATACGGATCTAAAAAAGGACAAGTCACAACATCAAAAGTATTATTTTTAAGCATTTTTATTACAATTTTACTAGCAAATATAACCTCCAAAATTTAAAATGTTTATATGTAGACCTAGAAAATGTGTTTTTACTTGAGTACGCAATGTTTAGCCCAACTCAAAAACGAGACGAATCGTAATCACGTGACTAGCGAATGATTTTGATTTAACCGGCGACAAGCGATTCGGTTTTTTTCAATCTTTTACTTTTTGTTTTGATTCCGGTTCACGCTTTCTGTTTCCCGTTTTCTGCTTTCGGTTGTTTCTTCTTTGGCCCAACTGGCTTGGCAATTCGTTATTTTCGTTTTTCGGCCAGCATTCGTCACTCTTTCGCGCACTTGTCTGTCCCACGTCTGATGGGGGACTGAATGTCAAATGATTTGGCCGCCCAATGGTTATGCTTTATTTATAATGGCACTAATTAATTTTCACTCTTTCGGCCGGGCCGAGCGGGGCTGGGCTGTAAATGAAAATTGAAATGAAATGAAAACGATGTTGATGCGATTGTGATTGGGGGATAAGCTTGCCGACCGACTACGAGCGACTAATATAATTTGCGGAAATTGTGACACAGCACCGGGGACCAGGTAATTGCACCCGGCTATATGTAGGGCTCAAGCTCAAGGTCCCGCACTCTCTTCCCGACTCCACACGCCGCATTGTCATTTGTTATTATTTTTCCATATTCACAGACTGTAAAGTCACAGTTGAAACAGTTGTATGCGCACGAACACTGCCTTTTTTTTTGCCATCAGAAAATGGACCGAAATTAGTTGGACCTATTTAAGACAGATTTACATAAACAAATAAATATTGTAAATATCCATACTCAAATCTGTTTTCAATTAGTGAGTGAGGCGTTTCAGATAACCTGTTTCGTTGGCAGCTGACTATTTAGCGCTTTATGTGGCATATTTGAAAAGTTTGACCAAAAACCGTTTAAATTATATTCTGGTAGCTCGTTTGCATTGCTAATGAGCCAAGGGGTCCAGGCCAGAATTAATGGCCTGACCATGTGAAAAGTTCGTTAATATTTAGCATTTGAAATTAATTTATCAAAATCCGAAAACTATAGGCCATAAAAACACAACAAATCGGTCTGTCAGTATGAATTAAATTTCTTTAGAAATGGGGGAATTTTTCGTTGATTGTTTTTGAAATATTCCGCTTGTTTTGTCAGTTTGGTCGCACAATTTTTCGAAACCATAAACACATAAAATTTTCCACATCTGAAGTCGGGTGGGGGTGGGTCGACCTTCGTTGTCAAAAATTTCTGTCACGTCCACACAAGTGACCCAAGGGCCCTCAAAGGGTTATGTAAATACCTCGCCATCGATTGAACTTTCGGTCAGCGAGATCGCGTGATTGCGAAGCCCCTGATAATGCCGAACTTGTTCAATCAATTTTCCGTTTATCGCCTACACTTTTTTTTCTACTTTTTCTATTTATATTGCAATGTTTTTGTTGGTGAATAAATTGTGTTTTGTGGCACGCTAAGATGAGAAGCAAATAATAATTTTATTTACGTTTTCAGCGGGCGTAGTTTGCTTCCGTTTTCTTAGTTTTTCAGTTTTCTCGATTTCGGGTATTTTGTGTTTTCGAAATGGATTTTCAGTGCTGCACGGATCGATTCGGAACTGCGTCTTGTTTCTGCGAGCGCCACGACGGGTTTGTTTTCATCGCCAGCTGCGCGGTTGCCTCTTGGGCGGCATTTATTTCTCTGTTGGCTCGATCTTGTTCGTCGCGGAAGGTTCGTGAGACGTCGCCGTCGCCGTTGGCAGCGGCGCCCGCTGCTCTGCTGGGCGTACCGCCAGCGTCAGCATCTCACAGTCACAGCCAAAGTCCCAATCGCATTGATTCCACAAAAAAGCCAGAAAGAACGCTTTAGTGGAGTGCACCGACTACAAAATACCCGACTTCTTCCGACATTTTCTCTAAAAGATCATATCCTTGGTGATTGTTTCCATCAGGAATATGTAAAATATTCGTTTCATTTTTGGAATCTTTAAGACTGGTAGTGAGCTCAAGATCATTTGTGCATTTCCATTATACTCTGACTTTCAAAGGCATTTAAAGCGGAAAAAAAACAAATATATAGGGCTTAAATTTTACCAATAGGCTTAACTCGTAGCTCCACCTTGAATTGCTCTTAATTATTTACAAATTTGATCAGCTCTTGTTATTCTTATAGGGTAAAATAACAAAAGAAAACAGTCAAAAATTAGCAAATGAATACAAAAATACATTTTATTTATTTTTATCAATTTTTTCATCAAAATTATTTAAATTGTTTGCAAATCGCTTAGATTAGTTGCATTTTTATTGTTTTTGATACAAATATTGTGACAAAATTGTCTAGAAATAAGTATGTTTTAATTAACTTTCCAGTTTTTTTTGACTGGTTGACTTTGATTGTATTTTTTTGGGATGAACAAGCTTGTTTGCAGAAATGGGACCATATTTTAATTTACCTCACAGATATCGACAGCCCAAACAGTTGAACAAATATCAGGTCTAAATAGATTTAAATGGTGATTCTTATCGAGATAATATATATAAAATAATTATTTCTACAAGTATAATATTTTTAAGGTTTTTACGCTTCAACAAGCTTTTTAAAATTTGTATATATAAATCATGTTGAAGTTTTATATTTGTGTTTTTTTTGGGAAGGGGTGCTTTGAAGGGGACCAAAACCCCTATTTGTTTTCAGTTGCATACTCTGACCGAATACAATATGCCTGTGTAATCTACGATTACTGGGTATCAATACAACTTAAATGAGCGAACATCTCTTCGCCGCACAGGCAAATATTGTGGATTTGTTTACGCACTGGCTGTGGTGCCGCAGAGCCGGTTTTAACCATATTTTCGGGCCCACGTCCCACCAGCCCGTTCCAATCGATCCACTGACCACTGGCCAAGCAATGGATTCTGCTCCACGCGGCGCAGAGTGCATTTGCCTCGTTCGGCTGCCAAATGAAAATATTCGAAATGCCAGAGCAAACATGGCAACGTAACGCGATATAATTAACACATGCAACGCTAACGACGACAAATGTAGATAAACAAACAACAATTGTCGACACTGCCCTTTGCCCAATTACATTGGCGGGAGGGGAGCGGGCTGGGGTTCAGTGGGCGGAGCCAAGGGCAACAATTAAATTTTCTGGCCCTTGAGATGGGGGAATTTCCTTTTCCCAAGTAAAAGTGACTCATATCACATAGTCGAACCGTTAATAATACGTCTAACAACGCATTAATTGTAATACACAGATTATTTGATTGTGTTGCAGGTTCAAGGGGCAAATGCTATAAATACACTGCGAACAAATAATCAAAAATGTATATATTCTTTAATAAAAATAGAACAATATTCCCGTTATTTAACTTATGAAAGGATGAGTAATTAATTATTGGTTTTTGTTCTAATTGTTAAATTTGTCAGATGTTTTTATCTAATTTTCGGGCCTTTTTGAATCAAATGTGTGAGAATGGTAATGGAAATGTCTAATAAAATATTAATTATTTTGGCGTATATATATAAAAAGGCTTAACTAGTTAAGTTTATCATTTTTTAAACGGCGTTCTTGGTGAATATTTCTTGCCCTTGTTCACTTTTGTTGGAAATGTCCATATACTAGCAATTTTAATACGTAAACAAATGGTTTTTTTTTTTTTTTTTGCCTTTTTCTTTTGAAACTATAATTAAATTAATTAATTGAAAATTTGTGTATTCTGAATTAACTTTTTGAATTCCTTTAAATTCCTATCATGCTCCTGTTATTATTTACTTTCAGTGCAGCTGCTATTAATCGCTTCGTTTGTCGCTCAAGTTGTTGGCATTTGCGGCGAGTTGCATGTTGCAGACTTTGCAACTTTGGCCAACTTCCGGCAACAGTTCCCACGCAGCCGAAGAAAAGTTTTTGCATTAAATACGAAACAGTGTTAAATAATTTCAGCTATTTTACGATCATTTTTCTTGGCGTGGGCCTAGAGTCCTGTCGGCAGTCTGCTCGTGTGGGTAGCTCGCCCAATCATCTCCAGCGGAAGTGTTGCCCCCCACTCGCTCATCCCCTTCCGCCTCATCCTTCCTATACGGGCATAGCGTTTACTTTATGACCGCTAAGCAGGGCGGTGGTCGACTGTTTGGCGGTCGGCTTGGTTGTGCCAGTGAATTAGCACAAACCGCATGTTAGATTCGTTGATAACATGCCACCACCTCACATCCTTACATCCCAACGCAACCCAACACCCACCACTCAGACATGTACAAGTTGTTGTCCTGTGGGTGTGGGCGCGTGTCCTTAGCCATGCAGTTAGAGGCTGTCAAGTTGAGAATTTTATGCGAAATGTTTAGTAATTAGTTGCATCCGCAAGGGGAAATTACTTAGCACAGCCAACCGCAAAAGTTCTTCCCCGCACCCTCACTTCCTATCTGTCATTCCCTTACCAGCCAGCGTTTTGCCTGGTTTGGTGCAAAAGTTCAAGCGTTGGCAAAATGTTGACAGCTTCAAGAAATACACATTAAGGGCAGCTGGCTTACATATTCTGCACTTTGGGAAAAAATCACTGATTATTATTTGGCACTTACAAATATATAAAAATCATGTATTATATTTATTGAAGTTCTGGCAAATAGTGATGTTACTAATTTTGGTCTGCCTTTTTGCATTGGAACGACTTAAAATTATATATACTTAAGAACTGTATTTACTACTTATTTCCATGTTTTCAACTAAAGACTTCCATTTTTATTACGTTCAATTTATATTAATATTTTTTTCAAATTAATTTTGAATGAAACGTCCTTTGGTTTAATATTAATCAATTATTCAACTTCGGTAAAAATGCATATTAATTTTTCTTCTTATAATATTTTGATCGATTAATTGTGTTTAACTGAATAGAGTCGTTAATTTGATTCTTGATATAAGTGAAGCAGAAAAGAATTTGTGAATTTGTATTGTATAAATTGAAATTAATTGCTAATTGATTTTGCATCAATTTGCTATATATTTAAATTTAATTAAAAATGAATCATTTTAAATTGGTTCATTTGTCTGAGAAGTGTTTTTCTCCAAATGATAATGTTAAATTTAATGTGACATACAAATAAATTATTCTTTTTCGTTTAAACAGCCTATTGCTTGTACTTTATTTTTCACTGTACGTATTTAGACGTCTTTCCGTATCACGCATACGTGTAGTTGCGCGGGTGAGCCAGCTCGCTCATTACTCATACGCAGCGTGCAACGGGACTCCTGTTGGTGCCAGGCGTTAAATTAACTAATTAAAACTTGCACAGCTCATGTAGCCATCTCTTTTTTTCTTGCAATAGAAACGAGCTCAGTCTGTAGCTTCTTGTTTCGTGACAATTATTCGCGGGTGCTTTTAATTTTTTCTAATGCCGCTGGAAAATGATGTTGGCAGCGACTTCTGACCTGGTTGATAAACGCTGCACAAGTTTTGGGAGCAACAACTGAAACAATTAGTACTGTGGCTGGCATTTGGATTTAGCCCGGAGATTCCCTGGTTTGGGTGGATGGTAAATGGCAGGAAAGTTGTAGCTAGCCCAGTTTTTCCACCACGCGGACCGGCGTCACGTGTGTAATTAGCACCTGGCTGACTCGCAGACTCGCAGACCCACAGACTCGCAGACGGGCAAACAAACTGGCTTGACAAACTTTGCATGCTGCTGGCGCGCTTTGATTAATGAGACTGTGCGGCTCCGTGGCGTTAAAAGCGCGTATTTGGCGCTAATTATTTAATTGCGCTCGCACAACAATTGATCGCACGGCAACTTGTTTTTTTTCTTTCTTTTTTAAAGAGTATAAAACACACTTTGCTGATGAATCGCTCAGGGATTGAGTCAACAGAGTCTTAATTAAGACCGGTTTGGGGTTTCCATTTAGCTAGCTAAACTTTAGACCTTTTATTTGTTGTTTTCTTTCTAGGAATGCATTAGCCTGCAGTAAAATTTGCTATTAAGGGTAAAAGTTCAAGGAGTTCGATTTTTGAAGAATATTTTAAAAACCTTTCAAATGATCCAAGTAATAGTTGTTAGGTCATCCTATTATATTTTAATTTTTTAACAGCTTATTGAAATAAAATGTGTAGAAAATAATTATAGTTTTTAGTTATTTTTTAATTGTTTGTTAAAAAAATCATTTAATAAATCGCACAATTCCCAAATTAAACTAATTTTTCACAACTTTTAAAATACAAAATAAAGAGAATATTTATAGTGTTTAACTTTGTTAATATTGTTTGTGAAGTAAGTCTTTCAATAAATTGCACTTGTTTTTTTTTTAGTTTAAGTTAGCCATGTATTTGATTTTCTACTTGTAAATAAATGAAATGAAATTTTACTTACTCCTTAAGGTATGCCATGCATTTTTTATATGGTCACCTTTAAAATCCTACCCCAGAAGAGCGCTATATTTAGGAGCTATCTCACCTGTATTTTTAATGACCGACTTTGACAGTTTAGCAATGTCAAGGCTGCTGGGGAAAATCAATATGCTGAGGAGCCAAAATGCCGGTCCTTTTGGAGCGGCGTCTGCGCATACAGGAAATTAAAATGCCATTTAAAAAGCCACATCACCCGCTCGCATTTTTACTCCCTCTGCAAATAAACTTTCTAGAATTTATTGGGTGTGTTTTCTTATTTTAGTCCTTTTGAAGACCTCAT